CGGAACTGGAACTGGCACTCCAGCAGGCCGAGGCGCAGGGCGTCCTGCAGGGTCTCGGCCAGGCCGGGCTCCCTCCGGCACAGCTGCTTCTGCCGCCGGGACAGCTTCAGCAGGTCACACTGCTTTGGGTGGGCACCGCCCTGAGCTGGGGCCGCCGCCACACCCGGTCCTGGGAAGGGAGTCAGGACCTCCCGCCCGGTCAGGCTGCAGAGGGCGAGAGAAGGGCATCGGTGATGGGGCGGGGTGACACGGGCAGGGCAGGAGGGGGCCTCCTGAGAGCCGCCCACCCTGGAGGCCTCGTGCCCCTTTCACAGAGCAGGAAGCCGAGGCACCTGCAAGAGGGCTGGGGCAGGGCCTCGGGCCAGTTTCCAGTCTCCAGTCTCTGCTCTTCCCAGCCGCCCTCTCTCCCAAGCATGCCCAGTTAGAAAAGTCAGCCGGGCGCCTGTCAAAACGTAGATTCCCGGGACCAACGCTGGCTATCCTGAGTCTGCCAGTCTGGAGTGGGGCCTGGGAATCTGGTGACCGCCCCAGGGGCAGCTTGTGATCAGGAAGTTTGGGAGATACTGCACGCAGTGTTGGCAGCTGCCTAAGGGGGCAGCAGAGGGGACGCAGGTGCCAAGCAGACACCAGCCCAGGCCCCAGCAACCCTCTCTCCCTTACACCATGCTGCTACTGCCCAAGGAATCCCACAGAAACCTACAGAGGCCAGGATTTCCAGAGAGCTCATGGACACTTGGTGCCCGGTGCAGATAGACGCTTGGGGGGGGAGAGGGGAGAAGGAGAGGGGAGAAGGAGGGGAGGGGAGGAGGAGGACGGGAAGAGGGAGGGAGGGTAGAGGGAGGGAGAGAAGGAGGGAGGGAGGGAGGGGAGGGAGGAAGGAAGGCTGAGCCATGAAGGCAGGAGCTGAGTTCCCACCCACCCGTCCGTCCCAGGCTTGTTCCCCCACATCCACAGCTCCCAACCCTGGGGTCGGCTGCCCCTGCCCCTGCCCAGCTCCACGGCCTTGTAGCCTCAGGTTTTCTCCTCTGGAAAGTGGAAGGGGTGGTCCTCCCGCCCTCCCAGGAGGATGATCTGACACATGCTGGCCGCCCGGGTCTCCAGGCCCCTCTCCTTTTGCAAAGTTCCTTGCTCTCTGGCTAGGCAGAGTCTCCCTGTCCAGAGGCAGTGACCGGCCGGTCGCACGGCAGAGCAGCAGCAAGGTGGGAGCCTCACTGGAGCACACCCCCCTGCTCCTCCTCCTCCGGGAAGCTCTGGGGGATGCTGCCGCTAGCTCAACATGTGCGTGCCCTGCGCCCTGGCCTGGTGGGGGTGGGACAGACAGCGCCTTAGGCCCCAGCCAGGACAGGGAGGAAGCCACCCTGTCCTGGGATGTGCTGTCCTTACAGCCCATCCGGGTGAAAGGCGGAACAAGGCTGCGCTCCGAAAGCTCCTGCTTGGACGTGGCACACTGGCCAAGGTAGTGCTGTGGCCAAGCCAGGTGTGGTCAGAGAGGCCCACGTCCCTCGGAGTCACGGGCTCCTGCCAGGAGCCAGCGGCCTCATCCAGGACATCTGGCCGGACGCCACACGCCCTCCGTCTGCCCCAGAAGTAAGACGCCTCCCCGAAGGGTGCGGGTCCTGGCCAGGCTCCAGGTGCCCCCAGAAGTCACTGGAGATTCCAAGCCCGTCGGGCGCAGCCAGCCCAGCGTGTGGTGTGTCTCCGAAACCTCCGAGCAGAGACTGATGCTATCGGCCGGCCCAGCACAGCCTGGCCCTGGGCTCCTCTCCCAGACAGGGTGAGGGCAGGGACCCGTTAATTATTAATCTGGGGGCAAATGGTTAAATTTCCAGTCCACCAGGTCTGCCCCTGAGCCCCTCCCTGCAGCCTGGCAGGAAACCCTCAGTGCCTGACCCATGGTGGCAGGGCCAGAGTGGGACCGAGGTCAACCCCAACTGAGGAGGCCCCAGCACGACAGGCTTCCAGCATGGAGGGTGGCTCAGGGGTGGCAGGGAACACAGGGACAGCAGCTATCCGGCCCCTCCCAGGTCCTCTTTCCCACACCAGGTGCTGGTAGGAGAGGCTGCATCCACTCACACAGTCCTTGCGTTTCAGGCATCGGGACCTCCCTCGTGGAAGCCGATGGACAGATGCAACAGGCAGGAAGCAATGAAAATGGTGGCCAGAGGGGCAACACGTCCTTCAAGGCCTATCTTAGATGCCATTTTAAGAATTATAACTGTAGCCAGGCACTGTGGCTCATGCCTGCAATCCTAGCACTTTGGGAGGCTGAGGCAGGAGGATGGCTTGAGCCCAGGAGTTCAAGACCAGCCTGGGCAACGTAGTGAGACCTCATCTCTACAAAAATTAAAAAATGTAGCCAGGCATGGTGGTGTGTGCCTGTAGTCCCAGCCATTCAAGAGGCTGAGGCAGGAGGATCGCCTGAGCCCAGGAGCTCAAGGCTGCGGGGAGCTGGGATTGAGCTAGTGGACTGCAGCCTGGGCAACACAGTGAGACCCTGGCTCAGAAAAAAAGAAAAAGCTATTATGATGATGTCATTACAGTCATATTAAATGTCATATTACATAACACATAGTACATTCTACATGTTATGTTATGCATATTTGTATTCCTACCCTTTTTCTTCTCTTTTTTTGAGACAAGGTCTCACTCTGCCACCCAGGGCAGTGTCCCGATCACAAAGGACTGCAGCCTCCAACTCCTGGGATCACATGATCCTCCCACCTCAGCCTCCCGAGTAGCTGGGACTACAGATACTTGCCACTACGTCTGGCTTATTATTATTATTTTTGACTCTTTGTTGAGATGGGGTGTCTCACTATATTGCCCAGGCTGGTTCTAACTCCTGGCCTCCAGTGATCCTCCTGCATCAGCCTTGCCTCCCAAAATATGGGGTTACAGGTGCCAAACCCCTACCACATTTTGAGTACTTGCTACAAGCCCTTTAAATTACTAATGTGAACACACATTAGGTCGGCTGACCACTGGTTTCTTCCATCTGCATGGTCATCGTGTGGCCCTCGTTGACCATTGTATACCACATGACCTCACTGCTCTGGCCTGCTGATTGGACCAAGGATGATCATGTGACCCAAGCTAAGCCAATCAGCCCCTTCTCTGGGAATCTGGAAATTGCATGAACAGAGAGTTTTCTCTTTCTTTGGGGAGCTGAGCCTGTAACCCAGAAGATAAATAGAGGGATCTCGTCCAAAGAGGAAAAAAGAATGAGCCAAATGCGTCAGGAGAAGCAGAGGTGAGAGCAGGAGGGGGGATCTGGAGAGCTTTCTGAGGTCCAGCCGTCCCTTACCCGAGACACTGCCGTAGTGTGGGGTGAAGGCTCGGGCATCATCCCTGAAGGTGACCCTTGTAGCTGCAGAGGACCGCAACTCCCTGGGCTACACTTGTGAGTCAGGCCCAGCAGACACCCTCCCACTCATCGACAGGCACCTGCATTTTAATTTCGTGTAATAGACCTGAGATTGATGGCCCCAGGAATCCAGCATAAAGTCAGTTAATTTTATTAGCGGTAATGACACTTAGAAGCGATTAATGGCCAGGAAAGGCAGTCAACCGCAGGGCGGCCGCAGGCCCCACCAAGCCCTGGTCGGTCCAGGGCTGCTTTCAAGGAAGGCTCCCTGGCACTGCCTCCAGGACCCTGCAGGGAGCCGGTCTGGTGGACCTTCGGGACCGAGGGTCCCTCGTGTTTGTTTTCTGTGTTGGGTTTGGGACATATTTCAAATAGTACCATGACATCAAATTGAGCCAAACGCCTCCCTGTTCCCTTCAACAGAACTAGTGAGTTCACCTGCCCGGCCCGTGGCCTTGCTGGGGAGCTTTCTTCCTGGAGGAATTCAGAGGAATTGCAGGTGTGGTGGGCTCCAGCCTGTCCAGGGTCAGTGGTTGCCTTCCAGTTCCTGGAAGGAGTCGCCCTCTGGCCCCCCAGGTTGAGAACCCTGCCTGGTGGGTCCCTGCATGCAACCTCAATGACATGCAAGTTAGCTGGGCCCCGTGGGGGTAAGAGGGACAACTCAGAAGCCTGAGGGAGCCCAGTTAGTCTCATGGGCCCAGAGATTGGTGGGGTCAAGTAACCCTGCCCTGTAGTCATCCAGATGCCATCAGCCACACAAGCCACCAGCGTTTGAACCAAAGAGCAGAGAGGCTCATTTGCAGATGTGCTCATTGCTCTTCTGGGCGGGGGGCTTCTGCCTGACTCAAGTGCTCCTGAGCCTTCTGGGATGTCCACCCCAGCTGGCTGGTCCAGCTGGTCTCCCCCATTCCTGTCCTCCTCAGCACCCCTCGCCCCTTTTTTCCCCTTTAAGAAACCATCTCAAGTGACCAGCCTCTTCCTCCCCCCTTTAAAAAAAAAAATAGAGATGTGGGGTCTTGCTATGTTGCCCAGGCTGGTCTCAGGCAGTCTTCCCATCTTGACCTTCCAAAGTGCTGGAATTACAGATGTGAGTCTCAGCACCCCGCCCTCCCCCTCCCCTAGTTACCCCTGTCTGTGCCCCTCAGCTCTCTGTGCCCTCACCCCATGGTCCTTAGTGGTCAGAAGCCCCACCCCCACACATGTGATGCCCTCTGGTTCTGGTTCTGGGGCTCCCAAGCACATTCCAGAACACCCTGGCTCCCCAGAGGGAGAAAGTCCCAGGGTGCCCCTCAGACTCGCCATCTGACATGCACCAGTGTTCCACAGGCTCCCAGGCCTCCCCCACCCGCGCCTGCCCCACCTTCCACGCTCTCCAGTGGACACCCCATCCACAGACTTGGCTAATGCTGCCCCAGGAGGCAGAAGACCGCTCTCCCAGGCTTTGGGAACGCCTGCCCTGGGGGCCATTGGCAGGACGCAGGGGCCATCAGACCCCAACCCTGCTGGAGCATGGAGACCTCAGCTGCTCTCAGGCTGCTCCAGCCCAGGTCATCTGGCCCCGGGTCTGCCAATCACTCAGAAGTGACCGCAGGGACGCCTCCTCATGCCCTGAGCTCATTCCGTGGAACAAATACACCTTGACCCACGGGAGGCACGTGGGAGGGCACACTGAGTAGGACTGCCTAGGGCCACCTCTTCCCAGCTGTGCTGCCTGAGGCAGGCAGCCCACCTCTTGGAGCGCCCTCTGTCAAGTGCAGATAGCCACAGCGCCTCCTGGGAAGGGTGCAGTGAGGATCCAACGATTGTAAAGCTCTGCGCATACAGTAAGCTCCAGATGGGT